CCAATAAAATGATTTAAAAAGAAAAGATGGTAAGAATGGCCACACAACTTGAAGAATTTAATCAATGTCACTGAATTGATCATGTGGAAATTAAAGAGATGTGAAGAAATTCAATTTCTCCAGTGAAAGCTAAGATAGCAAGCAAAAGCATCTTTAAAAGTCTACATCAAATAACACAATGTGGCTTACACTTGATCATTTACTTAAAGTCTTTTGCAAAACAAAAACACTAATATTCAACTCTGGTAGCCTGAACATGAGTAAGCAGTAGACAATGGTGTTGATGGAAAACCTTGTTAATGGTAATAAGACATCTAATTTCAAATTCCAACATGTTCAGTTTTACCTTGAAATACGAGAACACTATTGACTGTTGATCCTCCTACATAATGTTCAGGCATAGGGGACCACAAAAATGTGTAATAATCACGAGCTGTACTCCATCCAACCTAAAGGAAAATAACAAATAAGAATGGAGGATTTAGGAGTAAATAGTTCAAGAAAGTAATAGATTAGTATCCTTTAACATATTGTTTTTATTGTATCCTAAAATTATAATATTCATTTAATGTGTTTACAACTCATGAGTGTTTTAGCATGTCAAATTTCATTATGATTTTTTTATTATCCTATAACCTAATGCTATAAAACTATATAAATTTAACAAAATTTCTATTTTGTATTAAGATCTAACTTGATGAAAATTTTGTTATCTGTATTTTGCTTCATACTCTGGAGAAGAAAAGCTGAACAGTGCTTTGTGTCAAATGGAAGGAGAAGTTAGACATGCTTCAAAACACATGTGAAAGCTTCTGGAAAGCAATAGAGCAGTTTCTGAGGGAATGGACATACCCTACATTTAAGTTTCCACATTTATATTTTCAGTAGTCTTCTAAATTTTTAAAACTGGTATTTACCCAAAAGGGGCATTTAAAAATAAGTAAATGAAATTAGGCTGATTGGAAAAGAGACCAAGGCAGGAAAACAGAAGCAGCAAAAGGAAGAGAAATCTCAATAGGAGGGTCGAGAAGGGATACAAAAACTTGTGTAACAAGAAGCCAACCATAATATCACTGGACAGTGTCACTCCCCACACCAGGTAGTTTATATTTAAAAATCTGGTTGATGGCATGATGTAGTGAGAACAGTACCTTGTGGCTTTGTTTGCCTTGTCCTGATTGTCACTATCTGCCTCTATAACTTTTGGCACACATATCACATACAGTACTCAATTTTTATCCCTTATTTCCTAGTAGTATCCTGTATTTCCTAGTAGTATCAATAATGAGAATTGTAAAACTCCTTTTTAAGTTTTTAAGGTTTAAAAAAAGGTCTTATGGACTTTTAGTGTTAATATAAAGCATTTAAATTATAAGGTGATTAAATCTGTACTTAAGTAAACAAATCCCTTATGCTTGGATGCTTATACAACTAAGATCAAATTTATACACACAAATAAAACAATAATTCAAATATAATGTGACACGATATTCTGATGCAATTAATGTGGGGTTTAATAGTAAATATGGCCTTGGGTGCACTTCTATAGTCTTTCCTATGTTTTTACTGCAATTCTATCATTGCAGAAAACAATGAGTTATCATTGAATAGTGAGTTTCGAAGAAAAAAATATATACCCAAATTTTCATTTTGTGGTATATAAAATGATGAGGCAAGTTAGTCAGCTTCTGTAAAGACTTACCTTGAAAACCCTATGGAGCAGTAAACTCTTTTGTCCTTTAGGAATCAAAACCACTCAATAGTACAGGGTCTACTAAGTTTGTTTGGGTTTATTATATAGGTTGTACAGAGCAGTTTGAAGAAGAGATGGAGGAAAGGAAGTAATTCACCTTTCTGGATCACCTGGCCTGCAGCAACATCAGAGTCTGAAGAGGGACCTACAGGCTAACATTATAGTAGTATCAGACTGGGCTGGGATGCCTTCTGGGTAAAATTACTTCTTAATGTAAAGTCATTTCTTATACACAGATGATGTCACTAGATGTTTTTCTCTAGACAACCCAGCCTAACACAGAACCAAAAGGAGAGAACATTTTCATAGATAATGAATGGAAAATGTTTCTGGAAATTTTTTTACAAGATCTTGAGTAAAAGTTAAATCTCATGATCACAGAAAGAAAACCTGGGGAGGGAGGGGAAAAATAAGGACCTAATGCCAGGGGTTTAAGTGGAGAGAAAATGTTTTGAGAATGATGTACAAATGCGCTTTACACAATTGATGTGTGTATGGATTGCGATAACAGTTGGATGAGCCCCTAATAAAATGTTTTAGATTTTATTAGATGGAGAGAGAGATAAAAAAGAATGGGGCGGGGGGGGGAAGCCTGTTGATGTGGCCAACATTTATCTTATACTACCATGTTCTCTTTGTGAAATATTTCATGGTTATGTTGACCAAAATGACCCTTAATGTACATCTAAGACAAACCTACTTTGAGCTACCTGTCAATTTGTTGAAAAAGAAAATGAAGAAAGTGCCTTCATGCAATAAAAACATCAAAAAGATTTCTTACCTTGAATATACCAACCCAATCTTTTGGATGGGGATGGATATATGGAGTTAAGGTGTAATGACATTCCAGATGTACATTAGGAAGATAGCTCTTGGCCACATTTTGAAAGATGACATGTGCAAAGTTGGATGTCTGCAATGGGACTTCTTGAAAGGATGTCATTGTGTATCTGAAACAATTAATGCAAGCTGAATGTCATCTAAGAAAAACATATACCTTCGGAAAATATGTAACATTTAATGTAAATTACACAGATCTGTATGCCATTAGTGAGGCTTCAAACTGAGAATCAAAGGAACATAACCAATAACCAAAGAAAAAAAATGTAATTTTTGGAGTGAACCTGAAACCCAAATAGAAATCTGAAACCTATATTTTTACCCTCCACTACTTTCAGTTATTTTTTAAGTTATAGTTTTTAGGTTTTAAGCAAGATCACGGGACCGTGTTTTGCATTTAGTGCCTATGTGTGCTGAATGTTTCTCTGGCACATGACTGGTAAGTTCACTGCTTTGGAAAGTAACATTGTGCAAGCCATAGGTGGTGACTACTGTTATGCCAGCGGATTAACAGGTCAGTCAAACTGCTGTTTCCGCTCTACTCTAGACCTCTCTTTACAGTGAATCGGAGCGGTGGCTACTAAAGTTGTGAGAAATGGGCCACAATTGGAGAACACACAATAAGAAATCTGAGAGAGCTGGTTAAATTGCACTGAGTTCTGAACAGTTTCATATAAACAAAAATGTTAGGTGCGTTAAACATTTTAAACATTATCCACATTTTAAGTGTGTTTTTAAATGTGGAAGTGGTGCCTAATTCTTTCATGGTGCATTCCTGTGTTTGATTTCAATTTAAGTATCATCTCATATTGTTTGTGCTTACGTGTTTAAATTTTATCATCTCAGAAATAGAAATGTTAACAGATAACAGCAACTAACGGGATGATTCATGTTCCAATTGTAATACAGGGCACCTCAGTTGTCGAACTCAATTCATTCCAAATTCAGGTTGGAACATCAAAAAATTTCATAACTCAACTTATTTTTCCCATAAAAAATAATGGAAAATCAAATAATTGGTTCTGAGGCCCAAAAATTACCCTTGTAAATTCATTTTTCGTGGACTTTAAATAAAATCATGATGGCGGCTCTTAGCCTTCTTGTATACTTATCACTCCAGGACACACTATTGCCATCGAGTTGTTTCCAATAAGAGGAACTTTTCAACTTTGATGGTCCCAGGTTATTTCGTGGTTAACGATCTCACATGTTTAACTACATTAGCCACTTCCATCACATTTTTCTGAAAATGTTTTCTATGTTGGTATCAACTTAGCCATGTTATATTCAGCTGCCAAATCGGACAAGAAGTGACCTGACTGAAATTTCGCAATAGTTTCTTTCTTTTTCCTGCTTCTCACAGCTTTCCTCTTAGCTTAACTGCTGGTATCACTGACTTTCTTTGAAGTCATAATTACGGTATTGTACCAAAAAATGAAAAAGCACACACTGGCGAGTGTTTTAACACACTAACACAGGCACCAAATGTTGCCTGAGCGAGGCAGGCACTTAGACTGAAGGAAGGGTCACCTCTTTGTTGTGTTCAAGGCAAGCCGTACTGTGTGACTCACTCTCTGCCCATATAGGATTTTTCAAGTCAGATTTTCAGTTTAATTAATTGCAAGCCAACTTTTATTCTCTTAATTAGTTGCTATCAAGTCAATTTTGGCACAATTGACCCATAAGATTTTCTAGGCTGTAATCGTCCCAGGAGCAGACTAGATATTTCTCCCATGCACCGTTCAGTAGATTCCAACTGCCTACCTTTCACGTGGCAAATAAGCGGTTAAACATTGTGCCATTTTTTTACATGTTGAACTGTATTTATAGGTTGACCTATTAGTCATTTCCCCCTCATCTCATCCCTGATATTGACCAGTCTATCTGAGCCTGCAGTCCACAGATGACCAGATCCAGGTTGTCCTTCTGGGCTTCCAGTACAAGCTTGTTCAAATCTCTCAAAGCATGGAAAACCACAGCTGGTTTTCTTGAAATTGTTCTATTTGTCCCTCTCTACAATACTGATTGTAACCTTTCATTCTGGGTTCAGTGATCTTCTCGGTTTCCGTTATGCATGTGTCCTTTCCATATATTAAAAATTCATATAAAAACTAAAAAATTTTTAAAATTAAAATTAATGTATAAAGCCAATGAAATATACCAATTGTTTTGAAAGTCTACTCTCCATTCAGTGAATGTTTGACTGCTTTGTGAACACCAAGCACTGGGTGGGTAGCAGATGAACAGTAACAGTAGCTTTGTAATACAAAACTGCAAGAGCCAAATGCTTTCCAAATTCTGTGCTCTACTTGTGAGAAAGGGAAACTGGAATATTCTTTTAAAAATAGTAAAGGCACGCAGAGACTGTCGCAGACTCAGCACAACCACTGATTTCACAAAGTACATGTGGAAGTCACTATGTGATCATGTAACCCTATGGCACTTGCTTCTGAGTCATCAAAATAGGGACTTCTGAAATAATCGAGAAAACTAGGGCAAGATTTTTGCTAACCAAATTCATCTACTTTACTGCACTAATCAATAGTTTCTACAGGGCAACCACAGCACTAAGACTACTCATAGGTTGGCAATTATTAAGAAGTGCTAAGATAGTTTGCTTTTATAATAATTTATTTTACTATTTGGGAATGTGTAGGCGTTTTTTTTTTTTTTTTTTTTTTTAAGTTTTGAGACTTTAGAAAATATGTATTTCTAGTATTTCCTGTTCCTGTCTCCTAGCTACTTCTGTGATTGTTAAAGTACTGAATCAAGATGAGACATTCCATGAACAAATTGTCAGGGGTGAACCTACAGCCTAGTTTTGTTTATTAGCCTCTCCAAACCTTGGTTCGCCAGGATGCAGGGACGAGGAGTACATTCCATAGCAGAATTCCTTGACTTCAACATCCTAACAAGAGACCTTTACTATAATAACTATCTCACAGGAAGAACTCAGTACTCCTTCAGTCCTCCTCACCTGATGACTAGAAACTTGCAGGGGAGAAAAAGGTATGTAACACTTGGAAACAATGAGGTACTCAGTTTAAAATAACAAAAAGTCTTATTTTGTTTCTTAATCTAGATGGGTAGTGAATTTTCATGATACTAAATCACTAATTATAATCTCTTTTCAAACTAGTAGATTAACAAAGAAATAAAACCAATCCATTCGTTATTTTTTATAATATTCATTGCTGATTACAAGCTAAATCAGTTGAACCAATTTCTGTAGATACAACTGCTAAAACTGAGGTCAATCAACTTTGTTTTTAACTGAAAGAGTGGTTTTTTTAGGATTTTTTTAATAAGATATTCACAAGTGGGAAGACTGGCATAGAATAAGTTTCCTATATCTTTAAAGGTATTTTTTTAAATAGTTAAAAATCAGCTTTCCTCTTGAAATTTAGCGTGTTGTACTCGTAAGTAAATCAGTGTCACACCACAATGACTTCCTTACTTATAAAACAATACAATAGATTATAAACGTGTTAAACTTCAGCTGTTACTTTTATTTTTTTTCAATTCATAGTTCAACTGTACACTATTTTGTCACTAAAATTTTTTCAGTGTTCTTCAATGGGGTGTGAATGCTGGTGTGTGAGGGGGGGTGGGTGTATGTGTATACACATAAGTATTCCAGCTTCAATTCTGAATACTAAGTTTGGTTCACAATGAGAGCCCTAAATCCATTGTGAGGCTCCACACAGATTCAGACTCCACTGAGTTCTTTGTTTTGACCAGCACTGGGGAAAGGCTGGCCCTGAGTGTGCTCGAGAGTGAGCTCTACTTCCCTGGCCAGCCCAGGAAAGGTCAACTCTAGCCTTAGGAGCTGAGTGTGCCCTTGATAGAAACTGGGTTCTTTGGCCCAAGGTCGAGTCAGAAGTCCCTGGCTCAATCTTGTAAGCTTTTCTTATCTAGTGTGGGCTTCTGTAGTAATGTGCACTGAACTTGTGAGAAATTGATCTTCAGCCGATCATGATTTTGTAAAATTTCCTTTGTATTCCATATCCATACCACTGTGTATCCTTGAACACATCACAGCTACGTGTTGATGACCTCCCACACCTAGATAATTTGTCTTTGTCCTATTTCCACAAAAACCAAGCAAACTCAAAGCTATCAAGTCAATTCTGACTCATAGGACTTATTTATACTTAATAAATGGGTCCCTCTATAAGGGATTTGAATTTGAGGTCTCTTTCTCCCTTCAAACAGTAAAACTAAATATTGGCATATGAACTTAAATTCTAAGCATCTGGCTTGCAGAAGGTTATGGGTAACAGTGAGAACCCAAAATCCATGTGCATACTTCCCTGCGGGATTAAGCCTTCAATGAATCTCTCCTGACTATTAACCAGTCTAGGAGCCCTGGTGGAGCAGCGGTTATACTTTGGACAGCTAACCTTGAGGTCAGCAATTGAAAACCCACTGGCTACTCCATGGGAGAAAGATGTGCTTTTACTCCCAAAAAGAGTCTGTGTGGTAAACCCATAGAGGGAGTTCTACCCTGTCCTGTAAGACTGCTATGAGTCAAGATGAAATGGATGGCCTTGAGTTTGAATTTTGGTTATCAAGTTTTCCCAGGCAGAATGCACTGGAAAGTGGATTATCTCTGCAAATACCCAGTCACACACCTGGGAAGCAGCAGTCTCCCTTAGGGGCTTTGCCTGAGTAGGTCCTTGATGTAGATCACCATATGGGGGGTAGCTTAGTCATGAGTCTTCCCCTGACTGCCTTGGTTGGAAGACTGGACTAACTTAATGTACCAGTCCCAATCATGGCCCTGTTCCCACTTCTGTAGCCCTACCTGTAACTGAAATATACTGATGTACCACCAATCATACTTTCGTGAGTTTCTTTTGCTCTCCCTCGTCCTTTTTAAAGCTCTGAAATTCAACAAATTCTTGGATGACATTATGATCTCGTTAATGGTCTCCCGTATCCAAATGGAATGTCTTTGTCTCCCCTTTGCCCTGTTTAAGACGTAATGTTTCTCCTTAAAACCAATGGCACCCCAATAGAGCCCAGGTTTCAACATAAACTTTGAAATAGTCCTAAAGCCAGCTTTGAGTACCCCACATTCACCTTCTGGACCCCAAACTGCCAAGGT